CGATGAAGTTGATGTAGAGTGATGAATTCCATTCGATCGATTGTTCCACAATGATACATAGAGTTGCGATTTGATCTGTGCACGATCTATCCTTACGAAATCCAGCTTGTTGATCTCGAAGTTAGGCGTCCACGGAATCCTTCATCCTGTTTAACAATACTCTGTTGAATATTTTTCCTGGTATTGAGAGAAGAGTGATGCCCCTGTAGTTGTCGCACTTGCTGAGATCGCCTTTCTATGGTATCTTGATCAGAAGTCCTTTTTTCCAGTCTGTTGGTACATGTTCTTCGTCCCAAATCTTACTGAAGAGGATGTGTAGTATCTTGGCAGTTGCTGCTACATTTGCTTTCAGTGCCTCTGCCGGGATGTTGTCTGGTCCCGCTGCTTTACCGATCCTGATTTGTCTAATGGCGATGCTGATCTCTTCAATTGTTGGTGGGCCAACATCGATTGGGAGGTCTGTGGGTGCTGCTTCGATTTTGGATGGGTTCAGTGGAGCTGGTCGATTCAAGAGTTCTTTGAAGTGTTCTACCCACCTGTTTCGTTGTTCTTCAATGTCGGTTATTATTTTGCCTTCCTTGCATTTCACTGGTCTTTCTGGCTTACGGTAATTTCCAGCAAGTTTCTTTGTTGTATCATACAGTTGTCTCATGTTTCGCTCTCTTGCAGCCTTTCCGCTATCATCGCTAAATCTTCCACATATTTACGTTTGTCGTTTCTGATGCTCCTCTTCACTTGCTTGTTTGCCTCTGTGTATTCGGCTTGTGCCTTGGCTTTTTCCGCTCTGGTTCGGCTGATATTGATTGCTGCCTTCTTGTCCCTACTTTCATCAATTTTATCCAGTGTAGCAACAGTGATCCATTCCTTGTGATGGTGCTTCTTTTGGCTCAGAACCTCTTGACATGTCGAAACGATTGCCTCTTTGATACCTTTCCAGTTGCTCTCCATGGTAGTCCCCTCTCCATTGAGTAGATCATGAAAGGCCTGGAACCTGTTGCCGAGAGCTATGTTGAATTTGTTAAGTTTGTCAGAATCTCGAAGAAAGGCCATAATAAACTTTTGTGATGTTGTCCGCGACGTTGTCCAGTGCTTCTTAAGTTTTAGTTTCATCTTGGCGACCAGCAAATGATGATCGGATGCTATATCAGCTCCTCTTCTGGTTCCAACATCCTCCATCGTCCTCCTGAACTTTTTTTTGATGCAGATATGGTCGATTTGATTCTGTGTGTGTGAATGCAGCATATCATAGAATTGGTCTTTAGCGTCTTCATCGTAGTCATTGGTGGGCGCATAGCATTGGATGACGTTCATTGTAGTGCCCTCTCTTTGTTTTGAAGGAAGCTTTGATGATCCTTAGTCCATGAGATTCCCATCCTATAAGTGCATTTTGTACTTTCCTGGACAGCATCAATGCAACTCCTTGTGTATGTGGGGCGTTTTCTTCTTCATGACCGTAGTATAACAGAAGATCTCCTGAAGACAGTCGTTGTTGTCCAACCTGCGTCCAATGTGTTTCTTTGATTCCAAGAACCTCCAGGTTGTATTTTCTCATTTCTGCATCGATTTGGAAAACTCTTCCGGTCTCCCACATTGTCCGGACATTCCATGTACCTATAAAAATTGTCGCTCTGGTTGTAAGAAGGTGCATCGGCCTCATGACTTCCGAAGGAACTCGGCTTTCATCATGAGACGTCATAATTATTCCTTCTACTCCCAGGTGATAGTTTAAATGGTTTGAATGATGTTTTCTGGTTGTTTTAGCGAGTTGATTTTTTACGGGATGGGGTCGCTAACCCCATGCCCAACCCTCCTCCTTTACCCGGGCTTGGGAGTGGCAGTAACCCCTGGAGGACCTACAGGCGGAGTTGGCATATAATCATCCTGTGCAGGTTGTCTCGATATTCCCCTAAGTCGTAAGCTTTATTAGTAGAGATGTTGGTGACCAGCAGAGTAATACAGCTCGCACATTTCGTCTTATTTGAGACTCGTCACGTACTTTACATGAAATTAGAAAGTTTAATCATTATGATCCATTTTTAACATTCTCTGAGAACGTTTTCTAAAAGTTCATTCATATTAGGACGAAACCGTTTTACAGTAACTCATAGTTTAAAGAAAATTTCTTTTCTAAATCTAAGTCAATCTATGATGTTCAAACTTTCATCTAATTTTAAAGAGATTTTTGGATATTATGGTAACTTGGTAGTTGAATTCATGAATCTCACTCGTGAGATTCAAACCTAGAACCTATTAATTTCTCTCAAGAGAGCTTAATCTCAAGACCACTGACTCGAGTCTGTTATGAGATAGTAACTCACTGAAGACAACAATGAACGGTGGTACAATTTCATGGATTAGTTGAAGTTAAAAATGAACACCATGTTCGCACACCAGACCGATAGATCTTAGTTTCGAGTCCCACGTGAAGAATCGTAAGTTTGCACTACTGAGAAGTCCCACATTCGGACGAAACAACTTCCAGCTTTAATTGACTCATGAATTCAACTCATTAATTATATCTAATTATTGTGGGAGTTTATTATAATCTATTAAAAATAATCTGAAAAAAACATTAAATAAACTAATTTTTTTGGGGTGAGGGGGCGGGCGATGAATTCCATGACGATATACACATGAGATTAGTTGATTAAGCCAAATCAACTTTAAACATAAAGATTTTACTTAATGAATTATGTGCACCAATCTTTATTCTTACTCTTTTTTTTTTATAAAAAAAATCAATTTTTAGTTTCTAATCCCATTTAATTCTTGATATTCATGGGATTCAACTTTGTTTCTATAGAGAAAAAGAGGGAGAGAGGGAGGAGAGAACATTCTAGACGAATCTAATTATCGTTTTTGTATTCATCATGAATAAATCCATGAATTAGTTACTCAATTTGAATTTGTTTTGTTTGTTTGTTTTTGAATTTTTCTATTGGGAATCATTTTTGAATAAATCAAAAAATGATTAAATTTTAAATGAGACAAATTTTTTGGCGGGAAAAAAACTATTTAGGAAACCCAACAGAATAATGAATGAATCAATATGGAAGGAATAGTGTGTATAAAAAAAAATACAACTAATAGTTTTACCGAAAATACTTTCAATCTAGTTGAATGTTTGATGACGGAATGTACAAATCGCCATTCATCTTATTTAGGAATTTTTAATACAAATGTCAAGATAGTTCTACTGTATGGGCCGGAGACGTGAAGAACTACGAAAGCCATCATTCAGAAGATACAAGTGTTTATTAGCAAGATGGGTCAACCAATACCAAAATCAGAATTTTTAATACAAATGTCAAGATAGTTCTACTGTATGGGGCGGAGACGTGAAGAACTACGAAAGCCATCATTCAGAAGATACAGGTATATATTAACAGTTGTCTATGTTAGATACTTCCGATCCGTTAGCCAGCAACAAGTTACTATGGGAGACAACAAACCAGATTCCAGTAGGGGAAGAAATCAGGAAGAAGCGCTGGAAGTGGATAAGGCACACACTGATGATATCACCCACTTGCGTTACAAGACAAGCCCTCACATGAAATCCTGAAGTTCAAAGGAAAAGATCAAAGAGCATATTACGCCGAAAAATAGAGACAGACATGAGAAGAATGAACAAAAACTGGATAGAACTATAAAGGAAGGCCTAGGACAGAGTGGGTTGAAGAATGCTGGTCGGAGGCCTACACTCCATTGGGAGTAACAGGCGTAAGTAAGTAAGTGTGTAAGTAAGTTAGTAAGCAAGTAAGTAAGTAAGTAAGTAAGTAAGTAAGCAAAGTCGGTAGGCATCCTCAATGTTGATATTTTCAGTGATACTGGTGCAATGAAGGAGAACACGAGTGCGGACCATCGATTGTATTTGACACGATAATTATAGACCATCTTACTAAAATCTGATAACTATATAGTCAACAATTAATTTGTAAAATAAAAATCTAGTAAGAAGCAGTAACCAGTGCAGTTCAACCAGGTCTATTGGGATATATCAACTCGCTGAAGAAATTGGTGAATGGTTGCTCAATTTCGTGGATTGGTTAAAGTTAGACATTAACACTGTTGGATGCTGGTCGTCTCAGTGGTCTATCGGTTAAGTGCTCTGGCGCGAGACTGGTAGGTCCTGGATTCGAACCTCACGAGGCGAGGTCGTGGATGCGTACTCCAAAGGAGTCCCACATTAGGGCGAAATGGCCGTTCAGTGCTTCCAGGTTTTCCATGGTCGTCTAGCTTCAATTGACTCACGCATTCAACTATGATAATGCAGAAATATCATTCAAAACATGTTTCTACTACTAATGAGTATCATGTGCCCGATAGCTAAACTTTTTGAAACTATCAAATCTGAACTTGACTTAGACATCTATATCTCAAAGTTCTTATTAACTTCAATGAACTTTACCTCAAACTAAATTGATTCAATAGAGATAGCTCCAAGTTTCTATATTATAAATCGGAGGGATTGAAATATTTTCTGTTCGTTATGATATAATACTATTGAGCAAGTATTGGCCGAGATTCTGTTGTAATGAATGAGAACACAAGTCAGGACAACCAAATGTATTTAAACACAACACAACAGAAACCTCTAGTAAAATCTGTGCATCATACAGTAAATAAGTCATTAGCAAAATGTCAATCAATTATCTCAGTCTTCTTTGTTCTTTCATTTCCACACCAATCATTATCTGTTCTCGTTCTATTTTCTCCGATCTTCTTAACCTTCTGCCTTCAGGTACTTCATTTTCGATTAATGATACATACTACTTATATCTGTCAACATCAGCAGCACACATCACCAAACATTATCTTTAGATTCTACATTTTCTATAGCTAATTGACTGGAAAATGTTGTATATCAGATTTCTCTGATGGATTTCTTTTGGAAGATCATTGTTTTTGACTCTTTTCTTAATCAGCTGATTAAAAAAAGAGAAACTCCTGCCTTCTACCTAGTCCATTCAGTTAAGTCTAGAACATCAATAACAAATTCTGTAGTATGAATCATTATATTTCAAACATACTGGGTTTATATACCAACCAGACAGACCACATCGTACCATAAAATAGGACAACAACATTTGTACAAGATTTAACCAAATGCGGCTGTGGATAAGGGGGATAGTAATTGATAGACTGGGGATAACTCAAGAATGGTAAATCGTATAACAACAGTTCATAGGTCAAAATAAAGCTCATAATAAGGGGGACATGAATATGAACAGTTTAGTTATTTAACAATTATACAATAAAAATATACGCATAATATTGCTTCATCAATCTTCAGTCAGTCAGTCAGTCAGTTAGTCAGCTACAACGTAGGACCAGGCTTCATAAATGGATCCCAAAGTTACCATTCACTATTCTGATCAGGAGAAAACAGTTCTTTCGATTTACACACACACCTTATTTGTACCTACAATGATGCCTCCATAATCGATGCAACATCAGTAAACATTGTTTACATTATAGTTAAGAATCATTATTATTATTACTATTGGGCTTTTGTAAATGCGATCCAATACTCCTTATTCATGTATAAACATTTCTCAATTATCTTTATTTACACCAGGTGATAGTATCATTTGATTAATACATGAACAACAATATAAACTAGGAATTCTCTGTTTATCATCTTCATTTTCATCTTTCATTATAGTCTGTTGTTGTCGCTGATGTTGTCCCTGATGATGAGACAAATACTGATGATAATGAGGATGATGTTGATGTTGACTACTGATCTCTTCATCATCAGTAGTTTTTATTTCACTACATTCTATATTGACATTCTCATCAATGGAAGTATTTCTGTTTACCGTTGTATTCAATGTATCTTCCATATAAGATGGACTATGATATTTCTGAGATTTCAAACTGATTTTACATAAATGTAACATTTTCAATGTTTGAAAGTAGTAAATAAAGTAGTATTGTATTAAATGTCGAAATTTTAATGATTGACATAACAATATGGGTAATGTAAATACAAAACGTTGACTAGACCATATTCTTAATAAACCAGATGTAAGTTGAATAGAACACATTTGATCAATAGATTTAGTTAATAACATACTACTATTTAATGTATTTAATGTAAGTAGTATCTGCCCTGTCATATTCATTGTTATATTATGATTTAAATTTAAATTTGGATTCATATTCTGTGTAAATGATTGAATATAATTGGGAATAGTAAATTTACTATAGAACCATTCAATGAATTCAGCCAAATCAAATAAAAGATTCATTAGTCCTAAACAGATAGTTAATTGTGTTGGTTCTGTGAAAATAGTCTGTTTATGGATTGATGATTTGGATTGAATCATTTTGGGGTCTATTCTTCTTTGATGAATATTGTGTGGATTCGAACAACAATGAAGATGAAGGATTCGAGATTTCTGTATAGCTATGAAACTGAGTAATACAAGTGAACTGAATGTTATTATATGAGGTAATATGGAATGACAAACCTATAAAAATAAATAATATGGTTAGTAGGTGAAATGATAAGTTTATAAAAGAGTAAATATTTAAAGGATACCTATTTGGATATACCTGCATCTCAGACTTGTTGATGTTCACTCCGAGAATCGAACCCATTACCCTCGCTTCAAACGCCATCGCGTTATCCACTCGATCACTCAGTCCTGATAGCCACTTGCTTGTGCGATGAGGTGAAGTTTAAATTCACTTAGTATTGTTTGTTTGAATCTTCCCATCGATGTGTTAGGACTGCAACTGGTCAGTCTCTAATTCCACTGCTAGCCACTATCCGTCTTTGCTTATCATGCCTGTGAATCAAGGCTATATCGAGGCAATACGCACAGTATGCACATATGCCAATTAGAGACTGACCAGTTGCAGTCCTAACACATCAATGGGAAGATTCAAACAAACAATACTAAGTGAACTTAAAGGATACCTTTTAAAAAGTAATTATTTGTCAACCAGGATGAAGCTTCTAAGACGACACATATCATGGAATCAGTCAGTCAGTCAGTCACAATGTAGAACTTCGTACTTACGTACATCAGTTCGAGTTGTCATACCACATCAACACAGAGATGCAGTTGAATCCCATAGGGATAGAAGTAGTAAGAGTTTAAGCAGCAATGTGAAAGATTAGGGTTTGAAGATGTTATTCAAGATGTATAATCCAATGAAATAAATTTGGAAAGAGAAAAAGGATAGGGACATGAATAATTCAAAAGATTAGAATTTGGTAGAACACGAAGAGTGAATGCACCTTCACCATTGCAAACGATTTTGACCCATGTCATTCAAGGTCTCTAATAATCGATTACTGTCATCTCGTGAATCTTAACCAGGTTATCTACACCTACCAACATGGCTCAGTCCAAATGTCAGTGATTTCATGGATTTGTGCCACGTTTCGTTCTGGCCACCCTTAGCTTTCTTCCAACCTGCTCCTACACCATAATACATTGCACGTCTGGGCAGTCGGTAGTTGGGCATACGTAATGGAAGAAGTTCCACTAGAGACCTTGAATGACAGTATACTTATATATGTGTCATAGAGTCATCAGTGAACTTTTGTAATTGGTCTATCGATTGTCTAGTTGTAGAAAAAGAAGTTAATGAACTTTTGTGTCTAAAATCAGGAAATTTTATCAAACCCGGTCAACGTGTTTATCCAAAGAGACTTTGTTGATATTTAAAAAGTGAATTCTCAATAGTTTGTTAAACATCATTCTAAGATTGATCAATTAGATCAAAAGTTTTTTGATGAAAGAAGATCGATTCGAGTTTAGATCACTTTGTTGTGATCTTGAATGATAACATGATCAGTGGTTTAAGACATTGGGTAATATGGTTCACAATCGATCACAAATTGAATCATATGGATTGATTCGTTAACTGGATAATAACCACATTCACAATATTAAGTGAGTCTTACTGTTATTACAATTTTCATAGTTGAATTCATGATTTAATCTAAGACAGATCACCATTGAAACCTGGAACATAAGGAGTCCCATACTAGCACGAAACGACCGTCCAGTGCTTCCAGGTCTTCACTGGTGTCCTAGATTAGATCGACCCATGAATTTAATGTACATCATTGATCATTTTATATTCAGTAGTTCTCATATTCAAAAGAATTTAATAAACTCATGATCATGACAACATTGGGTCATCATAATATTAACATTAGTTAAAGAAATCCTTAAGAGTTATAAAGCACTCAGTAAGATGTTCTGATGAATTTTGGCATTTTTTGAAAGTGTCCACTAACGAATAGATTGTTTAGATATATTTCAGCATTCTTTAAATTGAATCTAAACAGCGAAACCTAGGAATTCTGTATTGTTTTACTGGGGACTTGTCAACTAGATGTGGCTTGATAGATCATAGTTTAGCGTGTGAATAAATAAGGACTGGATTTAAATCTGAGTGTGAACATTAACAACGGTATGCAGTTGCACTTCCTTGACTAGTCCTAAATATAAAACGACGTGCGTCCTAGATTTAACTAATAGTTAAAATATATTTCTACTAAAATCTTTGACAAGTGTAAATAACATCGAGTTGTCTGTTCAAGCCATTAACGTCCAAATGATCAGTTAATGAAGATGTTTTGCTCCTCAAAACGTAGTCTGTTCATAATAAATTCGTACTAAGCGGCGATAACAGGTCTTGGATTTCGACACAAATTAATTTATCCATTCGGCTAGATAGCATCTTGGCATTTTAGTTGATGTCAGTTCGTGATAAAAAAACCCTAAATCTAATCCCTATCCCTAACTATCAACTGTAAATCACAATCCCTACCCTTCACACATGTTTAAAGCGCTCTTTTAGCTCTAGTCAGTAGGCGGACATTCACAAAGCCACTTTAGCATCACTCAAAGGTCGTTCATAAATAATAGTTTCATCTACTAAGCTATTGAGATATTACGATCTAATCTAGAAAAGATTATTAAGATACTCATTAGGATAAATAGTAACTTGAGTAGCATATATTTGATAATCTTCAAGTTTTAAACAATCACGCTGTACGATTCTTGATAACTAGTGTACCTGAGAAGATCTTCAACACTATATGGAATTAATACGACGGACTACAGTGAGAAGTTATTCATGCTGGTCAGCTGACAGATGCATTTCCAGTAAGAACCGAGGTCAGACAAGGCTGTCTACTCTTCCTCTTCCTTTTTCTTCTGATGATTGACTGGATAATGAAGACTTCGACGTCGGAGGGGAATCACTTGATATAATGAACATCTCATAATCAGTTAGACTATTCGGAATTCGCAGATAACCTGGCTGATCTATTCCATAAATATCAACAAACGCAGTTGAAAACAGCTAGTGTAGCAGCACTCTCTGTATCAGCAGACCTCAATACACATAAGGGAAAAAGCAAGATCCTCAAATACAACATGGAGAACACCCATCCAATCATACTTGATGGAGAAACTGTGGAAGAGGTGATAATATTCACATACGTGCACAGCTTCATTTTTGAACAAAGAGGATCTGATGCAGATGTGAAGGCAAGGATTAGCGAAGAACGACCGCATGCTTACAATTGAAGAACATATGGAATTCCAAATAACTGTCTGCGAGCCAAAATCAAAGTCAGAATCTTCCATGCGAAAGTGGAAACCGTTCTTCTGCACGGAGTTGAACCGTGGTGAACTACTACAACCATCATTAAGAAGGTATAAGTATTTATAAACAATGGTATGCACAAAAAACTCAGTGTCCGTTGTTGACCGGATACCATCAGCAACAAACTACTATAGGAGAGAACAAAACAGATTCTATATGAAGAGGAAATTAGGAAATGACTATGGGATTGGATAGGATACACATTAAGTAAATAATCAAACTGCATAACAACGTAAGCACTAACTTGGAATCCTGAATGGAAACGGAAAAGTGAAAGGCCGAAGAACACACTGTGTCGGTAATCGGAAGCATACAAGAAAAGAATGAATATCAACTGGAGAGTAGTATGCAGGATAATGGTGGATGGAGAGTGTGGGTGAGCGGTTTGTCCTCCTCCAGGAGGTATAACAGGCCTAAGTAAGTAATTCTTGATGACACTCCAAAAATAATTATTTGCATCAAAAAGTTTCAGAAGGTTCGGAAGTTTAATTCAACAGATTGGTCTAAGGCTGTTCAGGGAACGTATCGAAAATCACACTATCTAACATAATTTGGACTTCTTCAACACCCGGTACCATCAAAAATATCTTTAAAAGCCAGGAAGAAATCGTACATTAAAGTAGCATATATTCTTATTTTGTATCTTTTCTCTGTTTTCGGGACTAAACCGCAGAAGTAGTCTGGGTGATTTAGAAAACGGTAAGAAAGTCATTACCTTACCCTTGGGCCTCAAAGATATCGTGTTTACTAGGTGATATAAATGAATTATGTAACACAAAATTGTCCAATTATGTTAATACGTTGAGTAAGGATTCTTAGCTTATGAGTATGTGTCGTTTAATGTATACGAAGTTCAAACTGTCATAATGTTTGTTTTATTGGTCGAAAGCTGTTTATGTCTAAATTGTGCATCACGAGGCAATCCCTAACATGGAATCTGGAGGTAAGCGGAAAAGAGGAAGACCAAAGAACACATTACGTCGGGAAATAGGAGATATGAAAAGGATGAATGACAACTGGAAAGGATTGCCCAGGACAGAGTTCGATGGAGAATGCTGGTAGGTGGCCTATGCTCCTCGACGAGGGGTAACAGGCGTAAGTAAGTAATTATTATTGTCGAGTTTACCCAAAGAGAGTCAAAGTCCAAAGTGTTAATGTCTAACAAATGAACATGATTTTATTGTATCTTATGAGTTCTTTTCCGAAGATTTTCGCAAACGGTCTTTTTATAACTCTAAACATAATTTTTTCAGAGGAGTATCATTTTCTGCTTGAATTGTTTAGTTACTAAATAACTAAAAATTTGGTACATGCTTCTTATGTCGGCAGATATAAGTAGCATGTAGAAGCCCTCAAAAGTGGAAGCCCTGGCAGTAGAAGGCTACGAAGATCGAGTTGAAGAGAATAGAAGAAAAAATAGAAAGGAATTATGAACTTGAAGAGTCACACAGAATGTGAAGGACAAATGAGATTCTGTAATTTTGTTCCGAAATACATTGGCCGTACCCAGCCGTGTGTTCTTTTATCTTAAGAGTATCGGTGATAACGTAATAAAGTTGCAAATTGATGTTGAACAATGATAAGAAGGATGAAATCTTAGGGGTTTAATGCTTAAATAGAACTTTCAATATAAAAGTTTCCAATTGATATAATGTCATTCTCACCCTAAATTGGCCCAGTAAACGCCTTCTGTTTATAATAGGGAGTGACTACTTTGCTACACATTTTTTTCGGTTTAAAATTACATATCCCACCCATTTGGTTACGTAAACCACAACATTTCGTTAAGAAATAGTCTGGCTATATACTACTCTATAAATAACAGTAGTATTATTAAGTAAATTAATGTAATAAAAATTACCGTTTTTGACTTTGGTAAAAAAAAGTAGAACTAGATTTCGTATTGAGGACATCACTCAGGATCGACCAACGTAGTTCAGATGTATTCACTGTTCATCTTCTTTAAAATATTGAGTTTCAGGATTTCTTAATATCTAGCTTTCATTAGATATTCTTTAACCACATTCTTAATCATTGTAAGTAAAGATGGACAGTGGCTAGCAATGGAATCCAGGACGCGCGTTTCGTCCTATTTGGAATCCATCAGATGGATTTACCTGCATCTGAGAGTTGATGTTCAATCTGGGAATCGAACCCAGTAACTTTCGCTTCAAACGCCATCGCGTTATCCACTTGGTCACTCGGCCGCATTCTCAATGTTTAATCTTTCTCATTATCATTGCTAAGATGTTAATCCGAATTCTTGATTATTCACCTGGTTAATTGCTTTCTCTCCTGCTTATATAAATACTACGAATTGAACTAATGCATATTTGTAAACATTATATTTTGATTATAGCTGAATGATAGGTCACACTGAAGTGATATAAATACTAGATAGTCTATTTAGTATATAATACTGACAGAACAGTATACTTCTATTGTGTACGTAATTAACCACCTATAATATGTTGCTTAGTGACAAATAAATTACAAACTGAACAATCGTAGTCCGGAATACGCAAACTGGAACCATCATCATGAGTAAACCACCTAGACCAGACAGCACAATCACTGTTAGAAAGTCATGAGTATTTGTTCATCAATGTCTGAGATCATCTGGAATGTTTTCAATGTTTAGTGAATATGTTGTATCCATTACTTTTGGTGATCTGTCGTTCGTTTAATACATGATTGCGACATACAGGAGTAAGATTTTCATTTGAGAATCCATTTTAAACTCTAATATATATTGCATATTTGTGTCCTTTCACCGGACATGTTGAGCTGCACTAAGTCGATATCTTCATTGGTGTTATCTGTAAATGACTTCAGTCACTAATTACATGAAGAAAGAAGCTCTGAATACAGTACACTTATTGTGAATTGAAGAAGTTATGGAAAAGTTTAACTATGTAGTTCAATACATATTTATTAATTCTCTGTAAAGTAACCTGGAATACGTAAAGATTCTCCAACGAGTTCATTTATCTAAAATTCGAGATGTTTCATGTTAAGAATATAAGTAAAGTACTAATCAATAATAAGGTCGGTGGCCTATGTTCCATTGAGTGTAACAGGCAAAAGTAAGTAAGTAAGAAGTGGTTTTTGCGGAGATTTAGTATCTTCATAGTTGAAAGCGGGAGCTAATTGAAGCTAGACCACCAAAGAAAACCTGGAAACACTGGACGGCCGTTTTGTCCTATTGTGGGACTCCTCAACAGTGCGCATCCACGACCTCGCCTCGCTAGATTCGAACCCAGGACCTATCAGTCTCACGCCAGAGCACTTAACCGTGGACTGGTTGGAGTTAGACATAAACACCATCGGATGCCGGCTCAGTGGTCTATCGGTTATAACATTTTAAGTTATTGTGAACATAGTTTTTCAACGTTATCGTAGAATTAAATGAGAAAACAAGTAACTGATACTATCTGAATTTGAATGATCATACAAATGGGATCAATCCACGACAAATATGATCTGAAAATTCATGAAATCTCTTCGAACTAAGTTGATTAATCCGTCGAAACGTTGATTTTACTCTAAATTAATTCGGTGAGATTTTACAAATGACTTCTTTCTCTTTAATAATAGTGTCTAACTGAAAATTCATAAAATCAATCAGGATTCGGAAACTGAAAGTCCTAATCAAATTGCTCATTATTTCTTGCACAAACCAATTTAGTAATGAATACTAGGAGAAAAAAAGGGTTAATTCTAAATTAGATCAGGGCATTATGAAAAGTATTATGCAAATTAAGGGTTGGAGTAGGGTATGCGAGTATTCTACAGTCTAAAGATCATTTGTATCTACCAATGATTGACTATTGGACAGTAAATGAATTCACGTTTGTACTAATCATATTCTGCTAATCGATTTCCAATATGATCATTAGATTAAGTAACTTGATAACATGTGAACAGTATTAAGATCTCAGATTATTGGAAATAGTTCACTGAAAATTATGGCTAATCTGTCTCTTACACAGTAATCAGTTAATGTATACATCCTGGTCCTATAGAAGCTAATTAAGGTTGACAAAACAAGTTGCTAGTCATATGTGTAAAATTGCAAAGAGCTCATTTTTAACTGAACTTTAAGCTGATGGTTATACAATGAAAATAATCAGTCCAGAAAAAGTAACTAGACTAAAATTATTCTCCTTAGTTAGAAATCTTCTCCACTATACTAACGTAGTGACCTACATTTGTAACGAGAACGCGATTAGTATAATGGAAACATTTATTATTATGACCAACTGTACCAGTAATTGTTTTACTGTACTTGTTTAAGTGTACCAAAGACACTTTCCTCCTTTGCTTGTAACCTTGCACGAACTCGAGTACGCTCGGCAGTTCCGCCTGTAAACTTTTGCACGTCTCGTTATTCTATCGATACCACGAGATCGACAACAAATATATCTTATTCCAACCATCAACAGTCTTCTAGTTTTTGGCTTACCAAAAGATCCAACTCGATTTGTGGTACATAATCTTCTTGTAGTGGTGACCATAGTCATTCGCAACTCAACGTCATCTACACCAAAATGTTAAGATTTGCTTAGTTCAAGCAAAAGGTTGGATATCTAAATAAAACTTAAATTTTTAACTTCATTGCTATAAGGACCATATATTATAAAACGAATTAAAAGCTTTACAGAGTAGTGACCAATGTCAGATTAACTTAGTTCCTTTGCTCAGTGATGACCTAATTTGATTCATCAAGTTACCATGTACTCAACGAATCAAATGACTAGACGTAATGTACAGTACTTTGGAGTGTTAGTTAGTTAGTTAGTTAGTTAGTTAGTTAGTTAGTTAGTTAGTTAGAGGAAATCTTTAATCCATTTAGGTTTCAAGCCATTTAGAACTGAATAACAAAGAGTGGATGGAATCCGGAAGGGAAGCGGAAAAGAGGAATGCCAATGAACACATTACGTCGAAAAATAGGAACAGATATGAAAAGGATGAATAACAACTGGAAAGAACTGGAAAGGATTGCCCAGGATAGAGTTGGATGAAGAATACTGGTGGTCGGCCTATGCTCCTCGACGAGGGGTAACAGGCGTAAGTAAAGTAAAGTAACTACCAAAGAGTGAATACCTGTAATCTTAAAGGAATTTATGTATTTTATGGAATGTACTACTCAGTCAGTCAGTTAGTTACAACGTAGAACTCCGTATGTGCGTACATCAGTTCGAGTTGCCATAACACATTGACACAGAGATGCAGTTGTCGAATCAAATCCCATAGTAGCAGAAGTAGTAAGAGTATAAGCAGTAATATGAAAGATTAGGGTTTGCAGATGTTATTCAAGGAATATAATCCAGTCCAATAAATTTGAAAAGAGAAGAAGATAGAGACATGAAGAATTCAGAAGATTGCAATTTGGTAGAACACAAAGAGTGTATGTACCTTCGCCATTACAAACGATTTTGAGCCATGTCATTCGAGGTCTATAACCATCGATTATTATCATCTCGCGAATCCCAACCAGGTAGTTCACACCTACGAACATATCTCAGTCCACTTGTTAGTGACTTCATGAATTTGTGACACATTTTGGTCTGGTCGCGCCTAGGAATATACTACCACAATTGATACATAAATTACAAAGATTTACAAAAGATATACCTACCTTTAATAAATATGGATAGAATACTGATAAGAGAATTGCATCACCAGCTGACAATACACAACGTTTTGTAGTTTTACCAATTTTATATAACCATATTAAATGTGTATTAATTAAACATATAATTGATGTTACTATACTAAATAATACTAAACCACCTATATGACTTAAACCACATTCATTCCAATGAGATAAATCATTTAATAATTTAATATAATTCACATTTATATCTTTGGATGATGTTACATAATCATTTTTGACATTCAATTGTTTACATTGATCTTTAGATGTTTGTTTTAATCCATAACAAATACAATTAATATAGGACTTGTCTCTACAGCATGAAAGAAATGAACTTGTATAAGATCTCTTATATAATGGATTCATTTTCAAATGACATAGATTCAAATTCATAGATTTACCATGACAACTATATATCGATTGAGGTATTGATAATTGATTATTGATTGATTGATCATTTTTATATTCATTTAATGGATCTAATTGATTTTGTTGATCATCTTGTTGATTATATAATTTATTAATTGTATAAATATGATAACGATTACGATATTCACCAATAGCTCGATCACATAACATTAAACTAATTAACCATATTGGTATATATTTTAATATATTTTTAATATAAGTTAATAAACGACAATAAAAATTATGACTATGTAGGCTGATATGAATATTTAAGTAGTTTGATGTTATAATATTTAAACCAAATATTAATAATAACCATAATAAACTAAATATACAATACCATAATAATAATGACCATGTTGCTGGTATATAAGAATGTATAATTGATTGATATCTCATTAAGATCATAATCTTTTGATGATTAGATCTACTAGATAGTGTATATAAACGATAGATACCTGTTATAGATAGAATAAGACTTAAACAATTAATCAATAATAAAAAGGGTACTAAATAGTTTTGTAATTTAATAGATACTTTTTCTTGCCATGAATGATGATACATTAATGTGAATACATTTGTAAACCATGTTGATCTACCTTGATTACACCATGTAAATAAAGATTGTAAATGACTTAATATAGTTTGATTTGTACTGATAATAAAATACGATTGATTATGTAATATGAATTGTTGATGTATCAAATCGTTTAAGTTTAAACATTGATGCATAGTTGTCCAAAATAATGTAAGATTTCTATTCAGTAATTCATTTAATTGTAAATTAGAATAATTATTAGGATGATATGTGAAGAAAGTGATATTCTCATTGAATAATCGTTTAGCTTCATAAATTGCATCTAAATTTAAAGAAGGATTCATAATATACTGGACTTTAGTTACTAAGTTGAATTGCTCAATTGTTATTAATCATTATTTTTAAAGTAGGGGGGATATTGTGATGACTATATATATGGCACGTGAAGGTGAATTTTCATTGGCAAGCTGTGATTGGTTAATTATTTCTAATTAGACGATCGACCAATCATATACATGTAAGATATCAACCAATCAAAATAAAGGTAATAGAATAGACTGTCGAATAATAATAATAATAATAATAATAATAATAATAATAATAATAATAATTCTTTATTCAATATTATATTTTTGGTACAATATAGAATCGTAGATCTTGGATGCGCACTGCTGAGGAGTCCCATAATAGGATGAAACATCCGTCCAGTGCTTCCAGGTTTTCCATGGTTATCTAGCTTCAATTGACTCACGCTTTCAACTATGACAATATAAAATTCTCAGCACAAAGTAACTCAACAAGTTTCTATTTCTTACTTCTTCGTTGATCCTGAGGATTAATAATGAGTGATCGCCAGTTAGAAATTAGCAGACCAATCAACGAACATCTGAATAATGTATATTCTTCTCGTTGCATATAGCCAGCAACCACGATATCTTTAATTGGGGCCTTCTGTAACCTTTATAGCAAAAGGTTTTACATTTTTCAGAAATGTACCTGAATAGGTTGTGCGTTTAATAGGCATAATGATGTATTAAAACAAACAAAATTAGATAACTTGTTTAAGTATCTAGATGACAGGAATAGGTAGCCCAGATGTTTAAACAGGCCGCCAATATATATATATATAATATTACGAATTATGTCACAATAAACTTAGTCAACATTCAATCAGGAATTCGAAATATTGAGTTTCAGGAATTTTAATCCGGCTATCAATTCCGGTCAAAGTAAAGTGAAAATTGAACTGCTTCTTATTTTGAACCATCAATATGTGATATAACGAAACACGTTTCGAAAAGTTTTTAGCCTAATTTAAAATGTAAATTAACAAGGCATACACACCACTGAACATAATGAACTGATGATAGTTCAGTATCAGTTTTAGAAGTACGTCTTTTTCCATTCAAATATTACAGAGAATATGAATGACGCTATCCAGTTTACTTAATGTTTCTAACAGATTGTTTCTTTTATTATGAATATTGGTATCTCTATTTAAGTGTTAACACATTACATAATCAGACATAGAAAAGTAAAATTTATTCGATAAACATAGTTCCTAGACATCAGACTCCATGAATCAAGTAAACTACACATATATTGTGTCCTTAAAATTGTAGACTACTGACATTAGTCAGTAGAAAATCAATATTTCCAATGATGAAATGATTGGCGAGAGTTTTCGACTAGTGATTGATTTTCAGTCAGATAGTCCGAGGTTAATCAATCATTTTATATGATCTCCAAGTATGAAAGTCTGTATGATTCTTGCCGGATTATAATCGATAAAACAAATCAAATAGTGTTTTGTATCAATTATGTATTCTTATGGAGAAGACTAGTCACTCTTCACATCACTAAACTTGCTTCAGTTAATAAAAAAGGTGATTAGGAATGATGATGTTGAAGTGTTTTCTTTATAAGGAAAGAAATTTTCAGTTTGTCTGTAAAAGGGAAACATTGAACATGGTGCCATTAAAAAAAACTGTGTAAAATTGGTTATAATAATCAGTACATTCATGTGAATTCTAATGTTCTCCAATATCTTATATTGAACCGATCAACAACATTTCCTCATGACTTTGCATGTGATTTATTCTCAACTAGATCAGGTTAGTATTGATAGTGTCCGGTCAATGGATCTGGTTTACCTCACATAGACAAGTATTTATAAATACCTGTACATGTTTGATGATAGTTGTGGTAGTTATCTAAGTTTCAGGTCCTTATGACAGAACTATCTTAACGTTTCTATTAAAAAATTTGAATTTGGTGTTTTGTTGTTTTGAGTCCTCATATGTTCAACATTTTTAAGAATTCTGGCCTTGCTGTGTCGTGATTTGGTCCTTCGAATCTTACGAAATCCAGCCTGTTGATCTCGAATTTGGGAGGATGCTGAATCCTTGATTAAGTCTGACAACACTCTGTACAAAACGTTTCCCAGCACTGATATTACTGTGACACATCCGCAGTTACCACACATGGTGTTATCTTCTTTTGATATCTCTATGAAATATTCTTCTCTTTGGCACCTATTCGTCCTTTCAAATCCTACTGAGGAAAATGTGGAATATCTTTGCATTTACCTTTGTATCTGACTTCAGCGATTCAGCTAGTATGTTGTCTTGTTCAGCTGTTTTGTAATTCTTAATTTGTCTGATACTCTTGCCGATTGTCTCTATTGTTGGTAAAGTATCGACTGTAAGGAAGTCTGCACATACTGGTTGGTGTCTTGTAGATTCAGTGAGGCTGGTTAATTCAGAAACTTTCCAAAATATCCTTCCTGCCAGTTTCTCTGTTCATAACCTTCAGTGACTAGTTTGACCTCTTTGCCGTTCAGCGGTCCCCCTACAATATCATTTTTGTTCACTATCTTCTTAGTCAAATAACCTTTTTCTTTCATATATCCTTCTCTGGTAGCTTCTATCGCTGCATTTTCCAGGCCTTTTCAACATTTCTGCTCATTAGTTCTAATACTGTTCTTTACTTGTATGTTTGTTTTTATGTAATCTGCGTGTCCCTTGATTTTCTCCCCTCTTGTTCGGTTGTTTTTTAACTGCTCACTTCTTGCTCATTTTTTGTTAAACTGTCTCCCAGGTTTGTATAGATATTCTTTATTATTGGTTACGTTTCTTGATGCCTAGTATGTTGACGTTAATGCACTGGCAGTCCTGACGATGAAGTTAATGCTTTTTGTCGTATTCGAACAGTTTTATAGATGGAAACTTTATGATTGCCTAAACAGCACTTAATGCTAATTGATATTGGTTACTAAAGTTCTTTTTTTTTAAAGTTATGATTGCTTCTCCTTGATGGGACTCGAACCCTGGTCATTTAGTTCTACAGTTTACAATATTATTACTGTCTTTTTAGTTTCAGTTTAAGGTAATTTTGATAGTTGAGGCGAGACTATAATTTATGGACGACCTTTGAGCGAATCTTAAGTGACCTTGAGAAATATTAGCTAATCAGTGAACAATCGGCATAGAGTAAAAATAAATTATACAAAATCAAATCAGTAAAGTGGATACACTTCTTTTATATGGTCCAAAAATTTGTCAAGGTTAGAAAAAGATTCGAAGGTTCCAAAATCGTAATGCATAAGGTAGAGTAACTCATCCATATGGTTCCATAATAGTTAGTCTCTGGAGCCATGATAAGGTTACAAAAACCCTCTCAGCCTCGACCACATAGCTTCAATATTGTTTGTTTGTACAGCCGAAGCTTCAGTAAAATATGGGATTATTGCAGCCAATGTTACTGTTGCTTTTATCATACATTTGGGGGCAATTATTATAATATGCCTTAGTCTCAATCTGGATCGAGTGTTAAAAGTTCCTATTCTAGCAAACGTTTTCCTTCAACATATAATATATCGAAGGATTGCATAACGGTAGTCTGCGCAAAGTCTACAAGTCATTTAATACTCGTAATTACAAATACAGGAACTTTTTAGTAGTTTCATTTTTATGTAGCCGCTTAATTGTCAAGTCTTTTCTAAAATTCTCTGTGAACCGATCGTACATGAGCATCAGGTACTAAACTGGGCGCCGTGACCTTGAGGTGTTTTTACCTGGTTTACCTGGTGTTTTTACAATCATATCAAAATCTCTACTACTTTTTAATCCAATCATATTTGGATGTCGAAGTTTTTGTAAACAGGATAATATGAGTCAGTTGAATGAGAATCAAGTGAAAAGTTCAACGGTGTGAATTAAACGAGACTGCATGAATTATGTGTATGTATGTATGTGTAAGATGAGTGAGTTGTTAATGAATGATATTCAGTGTTTATATGTTTCTATGTGAAGTAAAAATAAGAATAAAAGTGCAAATTGAAGGTTGAAAAGTTTTTCTCCTTTCTGAATCATCGAAGTTGCAAATAAAATGAGAATCATCAAGTACATAAATTGTAGTGTTAAACATAACTCATATTGATTTCAGTCATAATAACGATTCATGTGAAGTAAACAGGTTGAATAAAAGAAAAAGGTCAAATTACTTGTTGATGAATATTTGCCAAGTGGTAGCTAGCGGAATACCATCCTTTCTGTTGAGGCTGTTCTTATTCGCCCATAAATACAGCGCTTCTGCTGTCAATCTTTCTTTGTGAGTGTTGAAACCTTTCTGAAGTATTTTGGCCCCTTCAAAATTAATCATGTGTCCCGTTTCCAACGCATGTAACGCTATTGCAGACTTATTCTTAAGTTTCTTTAAGTCAACCGAGGTTTTGGGAACGTTTTTTAAACACTGTTTGTGTTCCTTCAACCTTACCTTCAATTGTCTGGATGTTTCTCCAATATAAGCCGCATTACAATCATGACAATTGATCTCATAGACAATATTTTGTTGTTCTTCCTTTGGTAACCTATCCTTAACCTTCACCAATGACGATCTTATAGTGTCACATGTTCTAAAATACACTCTTATATCATGTTTGTTTAAAATCCGTTTGATTTCCTCCGATGTTTCGATACGGTATGGTATGACTACAGTGGACTTCCAATCTTTCTGTACATGTTGCAGTTTAGCTTTTCTTTCCTTTCTAACAATCTTCTTTAAAAACTCTTTTGGGTAGTTGTTATCCTTAAGTGTAGCTAAAATCCTATTCAATTCAAATTGTTGGTCTTCTTCATCTGTAACAAGCTTCAGACTTCTGTTAATTAAATTTTTAACAACTGTGACTTTCGTACATAAAGCATGCGCCGAATCAAAATCTAAGTATCTATCTGAATGTGTTGATTTTTTGAAAACATTTATTTTCAACTTCCTATTATTAAGTCTTCGTTCAACCATACAGTCGAGAAATGCCAGTTTGTGGTCATCAGACTCTATTTCCTTCGTTAGATTAATTTGTTCCGAAATGTTGTTCACATTTGTAAACAATTCTTCCAAATAGTC